GCGGGAGAAAGATGAGGCTTTCTGTTCCTGTAAAGATTTACAGCCTCGGAAACCCTGCACAGGGTCGCATTGAGTCGGAACCGACTCCACGGCACATCACCACCATGCAATAACCCAGATCTAGAGAAGTTTGCCCAAACTTCTTACCTGGTAAATTCATTTTGGACAGCTTGATTGAGAGCAAATTCATCCCAGGAGAATTTCTTATATGTTATAAACATAAACAGAAGCAGCATGCTGATACACATGAAAAAGTCTCTGTAAGAAAGATATTTAAAGATTAGTATCTTCACACACCCTGTGTGTATACACACAATTCTTTCACTCAACAATTTTTAATGGAAATGGACTTTCAAATTCTTGGGATGAAACAAATTCCTGGAAGGAAATGTTTTTATAAGGTGTGAGTTGTACACTTTTATGTTTTGTACTGTTGTTATTATGTGCCGTGGAGTCGGTTCCGACTCACAGCGACCCTGTACAGGGTTTCCGAGACTGTAAATCTTTACGGGAGCAGAAAGCCTCATCTTTCTCCAGCAGAACAGCTGGTAGTTTCGAACTGCTGACCGTGATGTTTTGTATATCGACTTTCAATTCCCAGCATGATTTGTTGGAAAGCATAACCTTTGTTGAATTGGATTTGCAGTTTTGTATGGGCCTATCTCTGGACTATATATTCTGATCCATTGATCTTTGCGTCTATCCTTCTGTTCACACCATGCTGTCTTGATTGCTATAGGTTTATAGTAAGTCTTGAAATCAAACAGTGTTAGTATTTTGACCTTTTCTTCTTTTCCTGAATTGTTTTGTCTGTTCTAGCTCCTTTGTTTTCCATATGTATTCTACAATCAAATTGCTGGAATCTATATTTGAAGGATCTTTTTTATTACAATTACATTGAATCTATTGATCAAGTTGGAAAGATCTGAGCCATCCTAACATAGGGGTTGTGAATTTATGAACATGGTATATCTCTTACAATTTAGTAATATCTTTGATTCCTTTGCACTAAAGTTTTGGAGTTTTCAATATACAGATCCTGCCAATTTATTCTTATGTTTATATTTAAGTCTGCATCTTCCCCATGGTTAAGCAAGTTGTTTAACACAGATTGCTGTTGTTGTTAAGTGTTGTCAAGTCAGTTCCAACTCATAACCACCCTGTATAGGGTTTTCCTAGGAGCAGCTAGTGGGTTTGAACTGCTGACCTTGTGGTTCACAGCCCAGTGCTGACCCCACAGCATCACACCAGGAGTCCAAATACAGAAATAGTTCTTCCTTTAAAGGTTGTGTTCCACCCCTCTCCTGAAAGACATTGCTAGGCTTTCTCTATTACATAGGATCCTGCAATAAACTACCATATGCACGTGTTTTCTTGTGATTTTGCTAATATGCCTTTGGGATAGATTTCTTAAAGCAGGATGATTAGTTGTTGTTAAGTGCTGTCAGGTCGGTTCCGACACATAGCAACACTGTATAGGGCTCTGAAGAGTGGCTGGTGAGTTTGAACTGCCAACCTTGTGGCTCAAACTGACTTTGCAGTCCAGCACATTAACCCACAGTACCACACCAGTTCTACTTGAGCCAAGGGTAAATGTGCTAAGAGATTTTAAATGTTCCAGAGGGGCCCTACCATTCATGTAGTTACACCAGCATTGTAAGAGAAGACCTCTCTTCCAAAGCCTCACCAACAGTTTCAGATTTTTGCAGTTTTAATTTCCATTTCTCTTATTAGGAGCAGAAGTCCATTTGCATTTCTTCTGTGAAATGCCTATTTATTTGTCTAGAACATTTTTTGTTCTAGAAAGGGTTTGTCATTTTCTTTGTATGTGGGAAGGAATGCACGTTACATATTAGAACTCTTGACCCTTTGTTTGTTGTAAATAATTTTTCCTATTTATCACTTGTTTAATTACTTTGTTAGAGTCTAAGCTTGGTGCTGTAGGATAAGCACTTGACTGCAAGGTTGGTTTGAACTGCAAGGTTGGCAGTTCAAACTCACCAGCTGCTTGTCAGAAACCTTACACAGGGTCGCTATGGGTTGGAACCGACTTAACAGAATTTAATCACAGTAACAATAAAAATTACTTTGCTTATGACATTTCTTGCCACCAAGGTTTGTTGCTGTTGTTTTTTAAGTTTTATGTAGTCAAATTTATTTTATTGTCCTTTTTTGTTTCTGGATTTTAAATTATAGGTAAGTTTTCCTTACTCATAGATTATAAAAGAATTTACTCATATTTTCTTCTAGAATTCATTTGACTTCCGTTGTTATGTTTAAATCTTTTATCCATTTGGGATGTTTGTGAATGGTACAACAAAAGTATCCAATATTGTATCTTTCCTATGACTATGCAATTATTCATATAGAGGTAGTTCCCAGATTATGAACAAGCTCCATTGCTAATTCTCTTTAATAAGTCAAATTTGCACATAAATGGGAATAGTTAGGTATGCTTCATATCTAACATCAGATCATCAAATATATATAGTCTTAGTATATAGTGCAAAGACTCCTGGTGTGGCACTGTGGATTAATGCGCTGGACTGCAAAGTCAGGTTGAACTGCAATGTTGGCAGTTCAAGCTGCTCCTTGGAAACCCTATACAGGGTCATTATGAGTCAGAAATAACTCAACAGCACTTAACAACAGTATATAGTATACCTTTCTAGGAATAAAAACATCAAATAAACACTTTCAGATTCACTAATATAGGGTTGCTATGGGTCAGAACCGACTTGAAGGCATATAACAACAACAACAAGGCAGCTTTAAAATAACACAATAATAATAATAGTGTTTTTATGTGCATTTTCAAGTTTGTTGTTGTCGTTAGGTGCCATCAGGTCGGTACCAGCCCATAGCAACCTTATGCACAACAGAACGAAACACTGCCCAACCCTGGGCCAACCTCACTACTGTTGCCACGCTTGAGTCCATCGATGCTGCCACTTGGCCAATCTATCTAGTTGGGGGTCTTCCTCTTTTTCTCTGACCCTCCATGTTACCAAATATGATATCCTTCTCCAGTGATTGGTTCCTCCCTCCTGACAATATGTCCGAAGTAGGAGAGATGAAGTTTGGCCATCTTGGCCTCCAAGGAGCACTCTGGCTGCACTTCTTCCAAAACGGATCTATTGGTTC